CCATCTAGAGCGCATTGTGTCTTTGTTGTTTTGCTCTCATTATCTCCATTGGGTAGTGCATATATTTTGCTGTCTATTTATTTTATTTTTTCATCAGGAGCACAATAACCCGTGAGAAGTTTGAAGAGCTATGTGAAGATTTATGGGAAAAAGCTATTGTTCCTTTAAAAGAGGTTCTGAAGAACTCTGGTTTAAAGATTGAGGAAATTTATGCAGTAGAGCTCATTGGAGGGGGTACTCGAGTGCCAAAATTGCAGGTTTAATAAAGTTTGTTTTTGTCTTGTAAAAATCATTTCTTTACCCAATCATTAGTATCTGTTTTCACTTGCTCCATCAGTCCCCTCAAAAAGTCATATTTCAAAATTATTGTTCCAAAAAAGTTAAATATTACTAGTATAATTTAGTTAAACCAGATCATGAATTTCGAAGTATAGCTAGAAATGATGGTTTCCCTACTTGTGCCCTATTAAAATTAAAAGTTTGTACCTTGGTGAAACACAACAATTTTTTTAGATGGAGGCATTATTTTTTTCTATAGTTTTCCATCATCATAATCAGCCAGTCGTTATAAAGTTGTTAGTATTTGGAGGGGGTGTAAATTGTTAGTAGGATGGAGTTTCAGCCTCTTGTGGGGGAAGGGGGAACCATGTGCCTACTCGTCACCCTGTATAAAACTTTGCTTCACAAGTAAACCGCTGTCACTAAATAATCAAGTAAAATAATAATCATATGAAGTTCTTGACGGATATCTCTCCTTTTAAAGGATTAGATTAACCTAAATGTTTTTTATTTGTTACTAATACCATTTGTCCGGACATTGATTGTTTGTTTAAAATAATGTTCCTTAACTCTTGCCAGGCCAAGCTTCAAGAGTTTCTTGGGAGGAAAGAACTGGACAAACATTTGGATGCAGATGAAGCTGTTGTTCTTGGCGCCTCACTGCATGCTGCAAATCTAAGTGATGGTATAAAATTAAATCGCAAGCTGGGAATGATCGATGGCTCAACATACGGATTTACGATTAATATAGATGGTCTGGATCTGCCCAAAGATGAGAGCACCAACCAATTCTTAATACCTAGAATGAAAAAGTTACCCAGTAAAGTAATTTAATTGTCATTAATTAGTTATACATAATATTTTTTCACTATCGCCCATCTTTTTTGCATACTGCTGATATGATTACTTCTTGGGAACATCAGTTATTCAGATCCATAATTCATGACAAGGATTTTGAAGTTTCACTTGCTTATGAGAGCAAAGATCTGCTGCCACCTGGCACCACATCACTCATATTTGCTCAATATGCAGTAGGAGGACTAGCAGATGCTAAAGAGAAGTAAGTACACAAAAGATTAGATGGGAGTAGCATGAATCCCTTAATTATTGGGCATCATATTATGTATTAACCTTTTTCTTGTATACTTTTTCCTAGATATGCAGCAAGAAATATTTCTGCTCCCATCAAGACCAATCTACATTTCTCTCTGAGTAGAAGCGGAACATTCTCTATGGATCGGGCTGATTCTGTTATTGAAATATCTGAATGGGTGGAAGTGCCAAGAAAGAATCTGACAGTGGAAGATTCAACCTCTACTTCTGCCAATAACACTTCAGAGGGTAGTGATGGAAAACTTGATGAGGAGGGTGTGTCAAGCGATTCATTCAATACCACTGCAAGTAATGCTTCTTCTCCAACAGATCTGGTTGCAGAGAAGAAACTCAAAAAACGGACTTTCCGTGTCCCTCTTAAGGTTATTTATTTATTCATCTCATTTCAGTGGCCTTATGAATCCCCTTTCATTCAATAAGATCCTCTTGCACTAGTTTTTTGTGAGTTGTAATTTCTTGATTTGTCCCTTTGTTAAGGATTGACTCATTGTCTGTGTAGATCACCGAGAAGATAGTGGGTCCAGGAATGTCCCTTTCAGAGAAGTCTCTAGGGGAAGCAAAATTTAAATTGGAAGAACTTGACAGAAAAGATGCAGAGAGGAGAAGGACTGCTGAGTTAAAGAACAACCTGGAAGGTTACATATATAATACGAGAGAAAAGGTTAGGAAAGTCCACCCCACTAAATTGATATTTCATTCAACTTTTTTAATTATATTTTGATATTTTGTTTAGTTTTTTTAGTAATATTATTTTTCGCGTCTTTTCAAGCAAAATTATGGTATCTTTACTTTAAAAGTGTCTTCAAGAGGAAAAAGCAGATTTTGAAAGAAATTTAAGAAATGACTTTATCGTTTATGGTCACATCTGTTTCTCGCCATTGCTTTCGTTTCTTGTTTCTAAGGAACTTCTATTATTCTCCTCTATATCCTTGTGTACTTCTCCATACATTAGGATGATTTTAATTTTTAACATGCCATGTTTTTGTACTCTTCTTGACTTGATTAAATGTTTGATTGTCCACTGAGATATTTGAAGGGTCTATGATGGAGTCTTTAGCTCCATGAATATCTGATCAGCATTATCATTTGCTTTTTGTGTGTTTGTGGATGAATAAATAATCATTTGTCTTCTGGAAATTCATGAAGTGAATTATTTTGGTGGAGTTAACATATTGAATGCATTTTTTCGTTTTTGTTTGTATGCTCCTGAACACCAAGTTGAGGCGGGAAGATATTCTTATTATCCTTTTTCTATTTGTGTATATACTTCAACCAGATTGAGTCCGAGGAGTTTGAAAAAATTGCAACCGAACAAGAGCGGAAATTATATATTGAGAGACTTGATGAGGTTTGCTTAGTCCTCTCTTTCTCTTTATTGGTCAATTATATACATTTATTTTGCTTAATCATATTTCAGTTCTTGTTCTTTAGCTTTGGAAAGGCATTTATATATGTCTACTTAAAGAATACTAAATTATCTGCAACTCGCACTTCAGGTGCAAGAATGGTTGTACACTGATGGGGAAGATGCCTTAGCCACAGAGTTTGAGAAACATCTAGATACGTTGAAGGCTATTGGTGACCCAATATTCCACAGGTAGCCCCAGCTTCATTGCCTGAATTTCAGAAATACTTGTATGTTATACACATTACACACGTTATACACAGACAGATCATTCTAATGTAGCCATCCCATTATTGTGAGTAGATATAATGAGCTTACAGCACGCCCTGCTGCATCTGGACATGCCCGACAATACCTCACCGAATTGCAACAGGTTGAATGTTGGAATTTGCAAATACTTATTAGTTTCTTTACTTTCTTATACTGTATAATTCCCTCGGATATGAGATGGACAAGGTGAAGTTATATTCTATTAATTAACTCAATATGTCTCTCCATAATTTTAGATTGTGCATCGATGGGAATCAGATAAATCTTGGCTTCCTAGAGCGAGAATAGATGAGGTATTAAACTGTATTAATTTCCCCAGTTTAATATTGCATGACAAATTTCCATTTGCAACTCCAGAAGGGATAAAGCTTTTCTTTTCGTTGTGTAGGTTCTGGAGGAGGCTGAGCAGTTGAAGAATTGGTTGAACAAGAAGGAGGCTGAGCAGGATAAGTGAGCACATCTTTCACCCTCTGTGTGTATTTTTTGTATGATCAATTTGCTTATATATATATTAAACAAACCAACTAGCTAAATTATTTAGTCCTTGCAACTTGTATTTCCATTTCATATATGAATTGAGGGAGGAGAGTGAAGATGTAGATTTTGAGTGAATGTTAACGTGCTTTTAGGATTGTGTGTTGTCTATATGGCTTCAAGATCATCTTCATATGTTTTATTAGTGACAAGCCAAAACTTATGCTAGCAGGACTCCAAGACACGGCACACCAGCATTCACGTCCGAAGAAGTATACAATAAGCTATTTGCTCTTCAAGACAAGGTATTGCGGATGAGGATTACTCGTTATTATTTTAAACAAGTAACAAAATATATTTGAAGGGGAGCCTTGGTGCACCTATTATGGTGATGCCGTGCGATCGAATCGGTTTCAAGTCTTGGGAGCGGACCCTCCCCTTCCTGGAAGGCAGATGTGCATTGGGGCTGCCCTTTTAAGTAACAAAATATATTTCATGAATGCTAATGGATTCTTTTGATTCTTGGTTGCATTTTTATCTTCCCTCCTTGCCTAGGTGGCCAAGGTCAATAAAATTCCTAAACCAAAGCCAAAAGTTGAGAAGCCCGTGACAAGTGAAACTGAAAGCAGCAAAGAAAAAGAAAATGCAAACTCACCTCCTGAGGAATCCTCCCTGAAAGAGGAAACTGTAGAATCTGAGAGAACAGATGGTGACGACAAAACTAGTACTGAGCCCAACACTAACAGCCAACAGCCAGAAAGCCACGACGAGTTATGATTTGTTTGAACAAAAGGCTTTTGGGGAGATTTTTAGCTAGAGGCAAGAATAGCAGCAACTTCAGTGGGAGAGAGAATGCACAATGTTAACACTGAAGCCCATTGTTTCTTGATGCCACTTCTTGTTTGTCAGTCTTGGATTAGTGAATGTTGAGAGGATTATACCCTTCATTTGACGGTATTTGTAGTATGAAGCCCTTGTATAAACTCTAAGATTATATTCGGTATCAAAACCAATTTTGAGTACAACTAATCATAGCAATTTTCTCGGATGTTTTTTTTTACTCGTGGAGTTCATAAGAAACCTGTTTCTCGATGGTAGAATGTGAACATTTTGGGTCTGTTTGGATGGAGGGTTCTAATTTGTAGAACATTGATATTATTTTGAGATCATATAAAATCGTAAGATCCACATAATATGTGGTAGCATCTCAATCACCTTTTATTCATGTTTCAGAATATGTGATTTATCAAAATAGTACGTATGCACTAAAGCTCGAGCCCCCTCTCCAAAAACCTCCAAAACATTATAAGTAAAACATGGTATGGGCTTGTTCATCTATTTTTCCAAGCCTGAGGTATCCTTTTATGGGTGTTGACACTGTAGTATGCAAGATGAAAGTTTGTTCTTCCCAATATTTCATCTTTTCCCAGCACTAAAGTTTTTCAAAAGGGTAAAGGTATGAGTAAGAATTTGCATAATTGCATTAAAATAACGTTGTCATCCAAAAAAACATTGAAGTGTGCAGTGTGCTCATTCATTATATCAATTTTACAGCAGCTGTTTGTTTCCACACTATTTCCAGGTATTTACCTAATGTATAAATAGTTAAATACTAAGTAAATATGTATCTACTACATTAACAAAAAGGCCACTGACATAAAATCAGCAGACAGGATTTAAGGTATGAGAGGAGCTTCTGTCTTCTGGAAGAAAAGAATTTGAGTAATATTTAGGGGGCCTCCACCTAGTTAGTTAGAATAGCCATTTCTGTGGAGTTTCTGCCATTTCCATGCAATAGCCAAACTCTCTTCAAGTGTGTATTTTGCAGACCAATTCAGCTCCTGCTTGACCTTGGAAGGATCACTATACACTTCTGCATAATCCCCAGGGCGCCTGCTAAGGTATTCTACCTTTATATCCACTCCCGTGGCCTTCTTGCAGGCCTCTACAAATTGTTTCACTGAGCTGCCTTTTCCCGTGCCCACATTGTAGATGCCAACTTTGCCCCTAGTTGCATGTTGCAGAGCCTTTACATGTGCATCGATTAGATCTGTGACATCAATGTAGTCTCTTACACATGTTCCATCAGGGGTACTATAGTCAACCCCTCTTATCTGCAATCATTATCAAGTTTGTCCAGACAAGGTTTATGCTTTTAATTTGTCATAAACACAACTCAACAGACTAAGAGTGAAAGCATTCAAAGGTGAGTAGCAAAAGTGTCATTAACACAATAGCTGGTGGATTAAAAGCAGCAAAAACTCGCCAGATAATTTATTCTCCTCCCATTTCAATTCCGAATAGCAAATTGTTCCTTTGTTAGGTTGATCTCATCCCTCTCTTGGGGATTATTTGTTTATTACCACTACAATCTTTCCCTGAGAAATTAATACTCTTTCCCTCTATATTCCATCCTTCATGCCAAACGTGCCGTAAATATATGGGATTAAATGAATTTGCCAGTGCAGGACTTAGCAGGGTATAGTAAGAAAATGCATTACATACATACATACCTTCAAGCCTGGAATTATCCCGCGAGCTGCGTCAAAACAAGCACCAGAGATTCGACCTTGTTCTCGGAGTTCGGGTCTAGGAGCTTCTCCCAACCTTCCATCAGGGTCTGACCCAATGACATTGAAGTACCTGATAGTTCCATTAAAATTTGTTAAGAGGCACTAATAACTCAGACAATGTGTCATTATAATGGCTTTGACATACATTTGGAATGTCATATAGGAAAACACCAGACCTTAAGATCATGACAGCCATGTCATTAGTCTTTGAGAAATCCAATATGATATCTTCTGCCATTTTCTTTGCCTTGCCATATGGATTGATTGGTGCCTGAATTTATGTTCAAGTTCAATAAAGTGATAGTGAAGATGGTAGTTCCTATTATGATAAACAAGAAAAGCCAAGCATTAAGGCGGCCTTGTCTTGTGAGGATCCAATGGGAGAGGTTTTCAATTTTTGAGTCTGAATGATCTATTTGATCATATCTCAAAGTTGATATAAGAGCTTACTATTTAGTAAGCATTCTAATCTATCAAGTCCAATAAATTACCCAATAGATCATAAGGAAAAGTTATGTTTTAGTTTAAGCTTTTTTAAAAGTGTTTCCTATTATACCTTGTTGTCTATATATGTTTTCCAACTAAAAAACTGGATTAAGCCAAAATCCGGCTCGGGACCAGATCGATAAAATCGGGGCATCCGGTTATGAATGTTGCTTCTTTTTCTAGCATCATTGGTTGCAATTCCAACTTCACTAAGCATTAAAGAGAAGTATCTAATATACTCGTTCGAGAAATACTATCACACCAAAATCTTTTTAAAGAAGTACAATACATATAACATAACAATATTGTTAGTCAAAAGGGACACAAAATAATATTTTTGAGTGCTACGTGTGGTTTCAATGTTTATTAGGTATCAGCATTATTTTACTATTATGAAAGTTAGTTACTTTTTCATTAATCTGATATATAACTATGTGTGCATAGTTATTATTGTTCATTAGCATTGACAAAACTTACCAGCTGGGTGTGAGTTGACCCAGTTCTTTGGTCGGGTCAATCCATCGTATACTTGTGATGTAGGTAAAAAGGTCGTCAAAACCGGTAATTCAAACAACTGATAGTGAACATCTGATTACCAAACAGGGACTTAATTCGTAACGTCCACTTCCCTATACCTTTTACTTAATACTCACAACATAAGGAGTGTACTTCAGATCTACTCACTTGTGGAGTGACTTCAGTGATGGGCATTTTCTCCGGCTCTCCATACGTTGCGCACGTACTTGAATAGATCAATGTCTTGACTTCATGAGCCGCCATTGCCTTGACAAGCAACAATGTGTTTGAGGTAATGTTATGATAGTATCTGCAAATTCATGACCAATGTGCTTTGCTCAATATCATGATGCAGGGAAAATGGACTGACAAAGCCAAACAAACTTAGCTGAAAAATGACTAGAACCTAACCGTAAGGGCTCTTGTGTACTTTCACCAACATATGCAACTGCTGCAAAATGCATTACAGCATCAAATGCATTCTCGGAGAATATTTTGTCTACCTGAAACAGTTATGATTAATTAAGGTTGCAAAGCACACAAATCCATATATAGATTTGGAAGCAATGTATGTAGGATCTTTAGTTTTGTTTTGAGGATACCGCTGATGCATCTCCAAGATCAGCATAAACAAATTGAAGTCTTCCGGGCTCTGGATATAGTTCTTGGAGAACTTTGACCGCACCCTTGTTTCCCCGCGAAAGATTATCCTAGCCAACAAGTCAAAAAATATGAGACTTGGATCCCACATTCCAAATGTAAGAATTCAGTGTGAGATTGGGGTTTCCCTCACAATTTCCAAAAAGCAAAAAAATTCATCATATGGTTTTGGTTTGGTTGAATTCTTTTCTTATGGAACTCAAATTGTATCTCTTCTTTTAGGTGCACAAAAGAGAAGGGATGTGAATTATGTTCGCTCTCGATCATTAAAGAAGAGTGAACAAAATTGCACCCCCGGAGCATTTTTGTTCAAGGATTAACGTTTCTATTCAAAGCGGAGAAAGATGATTGATTGAATATATTTACCATTACACTTCAATGAGTAAAAAGGGTGTTTGAGAGATGATTATTCATATGCATTTTTTTTTTGTATTGAGTCTTCCCTTTCATTTGTATAGTTAACAACATTTATGCCTAAAAATTATATTTCATCAACATAACAATAGGGTTTGCATTCTTTCTTTATTCCATTTGCATTGAATTTAACACCCCCATCTCACCCTTTGCATTCCTTACAAATTACTAACATACCACGATAGTTACACGATATGAATCCCTCAAGAGACGAAGAGCAGCATGAGAACCTATATATCCAGCTCCTCCCGTTACTAAGACATGTGTTACCCCAGGTTCATGCTGTGAGAACTGCCCACAAATAATTATTATAAGCAAATTATATCAACAAAACTGGCCATTTATACCAATACGTTTTACTAAACATATAAAAAAGAATTACTACATTTAGCACATGGACTATTTATCCGAACAATATTTGATCACACCCATATTGTCACCCTATTGAAATAGTCACCATATTGAAATGTTGTACTCATATTTCAGAAATTGTAAATGTTACCCCTCAATTGAATGATGAAATGTACTCCTCGTCCACATTGTACATTTCACCCTTCAAAAGATCACATTTACAGTAATTTGGACAATTGAGATGAGACATTTACAAACTGGGGAACACGGATTTGATATTTCAATATGACGACTATTTCAAGGACTAAAAATGCGATTTTCCCCATTATTATATATGGTGTACTACGTAGTATATTTTATTAATTAATACACCTGTCCTAAAAATCTTTGTCATATTGACTTTTCTTTGTCAATGTTGACAGATTTTGAACAATGATTTTAATTATTATATTTGTATACTCTGTATAATTTATATATTTTATTTTGGAAAAATCGTACTTTTAATCCCTGAAATAGTCACGAAAATGAAATGTCGGATTTGTATTCCCAAGTTAGTAAATGTTGTCGCTCAATTGTCATAAATGTTGTTAATGTGGTTCTTTTAGGAGTGAAATATAGAATGTCGGCGAGAGTACATTTCACCCCTTAAAGGACCACATTTACAATAATTTGGACAATTGAGGGGTGACATTTACAATATCAGAAATACGGGTCCGACATTTCATTTTCGTGACTATTTCAGGGACTAAAAGTGCGATTTTACCTTTTACTCCCTCCGTAACTTTAAAATATTCTCATTTCAAAAGTAGGTAGGTTAAGAATAGTGAAAGAGAATATGAATTATTGAGAGTATGATGGGAAGATAGTGGAATAATGTGATGGAATGTAGGATAAATCCAAAAAAGTAGTTGTAATAGTGTATTATTTTGAGAATTATTGAGGGTATAATGGGAAGATTTAGAAATGAGAAGATTTTTATGTTATGGAAGAAAAAGAAAAGTGAGAAGATTTTTTGTTACGGAGGGAGTATTTTTTACGAAAATATTTTAAATAAAGAACATTTGAATATAATTTTCATATTTAAAATAACTTCATATTAAAAAATATCATAGATCAAAGTTGACTACTATTAATAAAGAAAAGTCAATTTGACAAACCGTTTTGGGCTAGCCGCCTTTGGGTCAAAGGGAGTACTGTGTATATATATAAGGAATACCCTATATATAATACTAAAAAAATTTGAAAACATATTTTTATTTGTAGATCAATTTTATGACTCGAATTCAAGCATCCTATTTGGGCTCCAAACTACTACATATAAAAATTAATGAGAAGAGCTCAAGTCTAGCGAAGCCTGAGCCTGAATTGAGCTCGAGTCAAAATTATCATGCTCTTTGGAGATCGATTCAATGTATCTTATAGTGCTATAGCATGGATGATGACAAAATTGGAACTAAATTACAATTATAATGACTAAATTGAATTTGAAATGAGGATCAAATTGAGTAATGATGTAAAAAGAAAATGAGAGTGAATCATCATACCTTGCTAGAGCCTGTGAGACTAGGGGACTTCCTAAATAAAAGAAAACAAATGGCAATAAGGCCAGCAGCCAGGAAGATCTTCCTGGGAAAGTTGCTTTTGCGCTTGTAATCCACAAAATCCATATCTGCAAAACGCAATACAATCTACTTCAGTGAAATCATATCCCCCCCTTCTCCTAGCCTAGCCTCGAGTTTAATTTTGTTGTATTTAGAAAGATCACTTTTTTCCTTAAATGTTGGGTATTCGTTTTTTTCTTTGGTGTCACAGACGATGCTTTTCTTATCTCATCAATGGTGCACCTGATCATTTCATAGTACCAATTTTATTATTATTACATAAAATCTAAACTCTTACTCGTATGATTTAAGACTATGACAATATTCGGACCAGATATATACATCCATACATATGTAATAGCTGAAACGTGACGCAAAAAAACACGTATGTTTATTACTCCGTATATTATGATCAAGGCAATGAAACAACGCCGTTGACCCATAAAAATGCATTGTTGTTTTATATATAAAATAAAAACATCTTAAATGCAAAATAAATATATCAACAAAAACATTGCACCCAAAACATATGTGGTTTGATCTCTAAACCTGAAAAAATGCTAAAATTCCGGGATTTTTCACACCGCAGGTCAGAATTGGATGAACATGATCGACATCATAAATGCATAAAGAACAAGAAAATGAATATATATAAAATACCTTATAAAAAAGTGAGGCAAGAACAGAAAGGGAAAAAAATATTTGTCAAAACGAATGTACAAAAAAATATCCCCTCCAAAAATATACTCATTAAGCTGATAAAGAACGCATGAGAAATAATCAATAACCACTGTTATTTATTATTAATATAAAGATGAATCATATGATGATCAGTGCCGGAAAGATATAAAGGCCGGGGAAGATGTACCAACCTCTGTAACGATGAAGAGAAGAATGTTATGATATGATATTATTAATGGGTGAGAAGAAGAAGAAGATATCCCATACCAATAAAGAATAAAAGAGAGGAGAGAAGAGAAGTTTGAAGGTGGGGGTGGTGATGAAGATCGAACAAGTCAAAAGAAAGATTGTGAGAATGAAATGAATGAGTAAATTTGTGTATTAGATTAGAAGAGAAGTGGACCATGTTCTTTTCATTTTCCTTACCCCCAATTAAGTCTCTAATTGAACTGCCATTAGGCAATTAACCAACCATTCATAACCATCAATTAATTACTCATATTCATTATTATTCACACACACTTGAGAAGTGGGCTAAAACAGAGCCAAGGAGGCTGGTGGCCATCACCCGCTTGATTTTCGTTTATATGTAGGGCATGTTTGACACAAATAGTTGAAAGTCACCGACTTTTCTCAAATGTTACTTCCTGTAGCATTTCAAAAAAGATTTTTTTTGAAAAACTCTTAAAAATTCTCGTACCAAACACATAACTAGAAGTTTTTAGGAACTTTTTAAATACTACAAAAGCTAGAAGACAGAGACTTATGCCTGTCAAACATAACCGTAGCCATATAAGAGAGTTTATTATGATGAGAATTTTTGTACTGTTTTCAATTGCATTGGTTTCAATTCCACACCAGACCTAATCATACCAAAGTAGATCAGGTTTAAATATACCATATCAGATCACACCAGACCAGACATTGACAGTTGTAAAATACACATAGAACATATATATACTACCTCCGTCCCGAATGAAGTTCCCATTCACTATTCATTGGTCAACTTAAGTCACTCATAATATTTTACTTTATACATCAAATTTTTATCAAATTAAAATTTTCTTGATTAGGTTTTGTAACGGTTTTAATGTAGCTTCTGAATATGTAAATTTTATTTACTAAAAATTATCCGAGTGTGAACAGGGATCGAGTTGCTTTATCGTCAGTTAAGCATCGTAAACCGAACGAGAACTTCTTTACAGGACGGAGGGAGTACAAGACTAGACTAGAACAGTTCAAACATGACCAAGCCATACAAGACTAGACTTAAACAAAACAAACTAGACCGGAAAAATACAATCTAATTAAAAACATCTTTAGTCACACCCTTTCAATTTAAATAAATTATTCAAAATATGACTAAAACATAAACAAAATTCTGAAAAGAGTAGACCAATTGTCAACCAGATATATTTGCCACGCATTAGGACCAGATATATACACCCATACATATGTATTAGCTGTCAATGGGTCGGGTCTAGAGTCGGACCCGACCCAGAACCGGTTGTCTTTAAGGGGCATGAGTCTACATTTTATTCCGTTGACCCGAACCCGGGTCCGGACCCGTTAGTATTTTAAATAAACGAGTAGGGTATGGTACATATGATTCCGACCTGTTTAAAATTTCATATTAATACACACTAATATGTAAATTGATTAGGTATAATACTTCAAATAAAAATTTACAAACCAACACACACACAAACATATACATAATAATATACATAAAGTTATTAGTTGAAATTCTTCAATTAAAAATATACACGCTAATACATACCTATTGTATAAGTGATACTGATCGAGATATACCCTAAAACTAATGCCCATTGTTGTCGTTTGTACGTATTGATAAAGTGTGTATTGAGACCGGCAGGCGAAACCCAATATTTATCATTATTAATTACTCCCTCCGTCCCCCTAACTTTGTCTCATTATACCTTTTCCGTCCGTCCCATTAAGTTTGTCCCATACCATATTTGGCAATATTTGGGTGGTTACAATTCATTCTTACTTTATTCACACTTTATCAATTCAACACCAACCACACAATTCCACTTTTTCTTAAAATTTGTGTCACACTCCTTTGTCCCAAACATATTGGGACAGAGGTAGTATATTATTATATCATCATCATCATCATCATATATAATATGCTTTTATACTCTTAGTAGTTCTTGTGGTCTGATGGCATCACCGTTGATCTCCCAAAGAGGAGGTCAAGGGTTCGAGTCTCATCCCAATCAAGGATGTTGGCATTAACTAGAGCAGATACTATAATATGTTTAGAATGATATGCAAAAAAAGTAATCCAAGAGCTCTGTTGCCACTTTCTTCATTTCTTCAATTTACTCCTTCAGAAAGCGGTCCAGTCCAGCTGGTCGCCGACTCACTCTCCCTTACGGAGGGGGGGGGGGGGGTCTTAGGTTCAAAACTCAATTGAGTGAGTTTCAGTCTTCATTACTCCAGGCCCCCCAGACGCCCCCTGGAGTTAAAAAAAACTCTTAGTAGTCCAAGAGACTTTTTTGTGACCTAATTTCTAGTCTATCCTACGAGCATTCTGTGCGAGAGAAAGCGACACAGAGTGTGGAGTTGTACGCCTATACAAAAACCGATACTTTATTGGATAGAAGTATTAATTTTCTATGAGAAATCTTGAATTCTTTTGAAAAGTGAAGATATATTTTGCTTTTAAGTTTGCACACTTTGCTTTACATTTCATATACACGTCTTGTTATTATCACAAAAAATATAATGTTGTGCATATCATATTTAGCGGATCTATCAGACCCAGTTCCGAGATCCGTTGAGTTTGGGTCTTGAACCAAATTTTCAGACATGTCGGGTAAATGGGTCAGGTCTGGGTTTGGGTTCATTATTAACTTAGCGGGTCCAAGTTCGGAATAGTACGTTTCGGCCTTAACCCGACCCATTAACAGGCCTGTATTTAGGGATTTTTTTTCCTTTTATACAATATTGATCAACAATTCAACATAAACATGTTGTCTCTTCTGTTATTTTCAAAATTCAAATGACGTCCTTTTTGTAATTATTGTAAAGTAATTACAAAATGTCAACTTTTTTATTATAGCAATTGATTAGAAATATGAAAGGTGGAGACTAAAAATTTACATTCATAAATATATGTATACATATGCATATGTGTGTGTCTATGAATATACCTATTGTGTGTGACTAAAAATTCACATTCTTGCAAGTAACGGTCTAGTCACCGCCACGTCACCCGATAAGATCCCAACTGTGTATTTGACGTGATAACTTAATATTCGAGCACAAAGTATTATCTTTAAATATAAAGATAGATAATTATCACACCCTATTTTCTATATAATGAGTGGCAAATATAGTAACTAATCATGACTATTTTAGTAGTGTGTGGTGAGAGTGAGGCCTATGAACATTTTAGACATATTAAAAAAATTTAAAATGTTTTTATACTCCGTATTATTTTAGAAGTGCTCTAAATTATTTTGATAATTTTGAAAAATTTCAAAGTTTCCCCAGGCCGGGTGGCATAGTGGACTACCCGATCTGCTCTTATAGGTAGGTGGATATCGATATGTTGCACGTCGAGCTGGACCCGTCCACATCAATGGGTAGCAAATTTAGAAAAAACCCGACCCAGATCCAGCCTAACCCAATTTTGTGCAGCTCTAACGTCAACCTTTGGGAATCGTTTCTGAGCTAGCCCTAGAGAACTAGGCCACGATGTCAGTGATAGCAACTGTGACGTATGCCTCAGAGATGCGTGGTTGGAACGCCTGTGATTAGGTCCCCATGGACTCGACTGGTAGCCCCAGTGCATGATTTTGGGGCAAAGGTAATCAAGCTCAACCTTAGTGATGAGACTGGTCCCAAGAAAAAACATGTTCACCTATGAGGCCAAAAGTGGGTTTAGATTCTGATATTGGTCTCGGCGCAAGGCCTTGGGCCCCGACCCACTTTGTGGATGGTTTGGGTCACAATTCTCAATTTCCTATCTTTGAACCCTTGGGGTGTATGACAATATATTTCATCATTAATACTCCATAATTGATAATTATTCATAATTAATATTAGGAAAATTTACGTAGATATTACTAAAAGATAAAGGTTTTCCCAAAATATGACCAAAAAACTCACGCACGCGTCGTATGACTAATTAAGCATCGCAAGGCATGCTCCATTCAATACGCCCAGATGTAAATTCCTTTGATGCCCTCTATAATAATTTGGCCAGTAAATAGAAAATGGAGTTTTCTTAATACGGAAAGTAGCGTATTTTTAGGAGACGGTCTGAATGGAGCATTTTTTATCTGGGATAATCTGAATATGGTGACGTTCGAATTTCTACGCAATTGAGTACAGTAAGTTGCTCTTCAGTAAACTAGGACAGTAAACTAGGACAGTAAGTACTTGAAATTTCGGAGGGCATTAAACTAGGGCATTATTTTAAAATGGAATTTCGAACAATGATCTCAAATTCCATATGAGTTGGAGATAGGACAGTAAATCTAGTGATTGTATTTCGAACAATGATCTCAAATTATATTAGTAAAGTTTTAGTTGGGCAGTGAAGTTAAAGAACATGGAAAAGGGGTAATTGTTCTAAATAGGACATTTGTGACTACTTTGTGTATTATAAAATAAAAGTATTATATATGATAAAAAAAAGTATTATATTTTTGTTCTCTAAATATGAGTAATTATTATCATGTTATGACATTACCCGATTCTAAACTTGACAGTATATTTCAAGTTTGGCAGTAATTACTCCTATTTAGAGAATAAAATAGACAACCTTATTTTAAAATTTTCAAACATTTTTACTCTTATTTTGAGAATTTTCCGAAATATGGTCATACGAAGAGTAAAAAATAAATTAATGGTTTAAAAATGTAGTAGTATAAAGATTAGTCATGGGCCCGCAGTGTAATCATTAAAAGGACAGTAATACGAAGGGGTATAAAATTTGGGCATTAAAAAGTGTGCAATAATTTTATGTACCAATGAAAAGTGTACATATATCAATATACTCCTATATGGTAACAAATGCTACGTACAATTTAAATAAGGGGAAGTAATTATTGAAGTTAGGATAATCTTTAAATGGGAACAAAGTAACGGATCAAAAATGATGATCCTGGAAGGAAGAAAAGGACGTTCCAGAAAATATAAATAAAAATGATGAAAACGGTTATCATATAAATAACTGCGTAATGCAGACGTGCATTACAATGTCATGTTTATCACATCCGAGAAAATAGGATAAAACTTGCGATCTTAATTCGTTGAAGTTTTGAGGGCAACGGCGGAATAAAAAAAACAAGGAAAAAGGTTGATAAATGACCATGCATAGCGTGGATGCATCAAA